AGCTGTTGAGTTAGCTTCTTCAAAATTACAAACGGAGTATTCGAATGTTTTCAAGAGAGAACCCTCCATCAGTTATGCAGCAAATGTGAAGACCAGAAATAGGGAAATGGTACCTTCAAATTCAAGAAGCACTGACCCGAGATCAACTAATAAGGGGCAATCATCAACAGGAAATTATTTTTCAAATATCAGGTGTATATGTTGTGGGCGCAGAAATCATGCTTTTGAAAATTGTTCTTTTAGAGGATGTTATTGCCATATTTGTAAAGAGAAGGGACATTTAGCACCCATGTGTTCAAGTAGAAAACATTTTTCTAATCAATTAAAAGGTAATAAGGTAAATAGTAACAATTTCTTAGTTTCAGATGAGGATTCATTATTCACTTTGGATGTCAGAACAGATCCAGTTTTGATAGATGTCATCATTGACAAAACGATTTTCACTTTCGGTTTGGACACTGGGGCTAGCTACAGTGTGATTTCAAAAGATTTTTGGGAAGAACATTTTTTTCAAAAGCGTGTTTTCAAATCTACGAAAATTTTTACTTTATATAATGGGGATAAAATTGCACCATTAGGGATGATCAAGTGCGATGTATGTTATGAAAATATGACAACTGAATTGGAGATAAATATCATTGAAAATGGTGGTCCACCATTGTTGGGACGAGATTTTTTCAATTCATTCAATCTGAGTATTTTCAATTTGAATACTGTAATTGAATCAGGAGATTTGCAATCATTAAAAAACAAATTCAAAGAAATTTTTTCAACCGGTTTAGGTACATTCAACAGGGGGAATATTTCAATAAATTTGAAGTCAAATATAGATGTAAAGCCAAAATTTTTTCGAGCTAGGCAATTACCATTTGCAATGAGAGAAAAAGTAGAAGAGGAATTGGAGCGATTGTTAGAGTGTGGAGTAATTGAAAGAATGGATTATTGTGAATGGGGAACTCCAATTGTTCCGATTTTGAAATCGAACGGCTCTGTAAGAATTTGTGGTGATTTCAAGGTAACAGTCAACCCATTCATTGAAATAGATCAATTTCCTTTACCGAAAATCGATGACCTTTTTGTTAGATTACAAGGGGGCATTCATTTCAGTAAATTAGATCTGTCGAATGCTTATCAACAAATATGTTTAGATGAGAAATCGAAAAATTTGACCACGATTTCAACACATAAAGGGTTATTCAGATATACGCGTGCTCCATTCGGAATATCGAGCATTCCAGCAAAATTTCAAAAAATCATAGAAACATTATTACAGGGTTTAGAGGGTGTTGTTAGTTTTCTGGATGATATATTAATTACAGGAAGAACTAGAAGAGAACATTTGGATAGATTGGAAGTTGTGTTAAAACGGTTGCAAGATGCAGGGCTAAAACTCTCCTTAGAAAAATGTAAATTTTTTCAACCAAAAATAACTTATTTGGGGTTTGATATTGATAAGGATGGGCTCCACACCTCTGAATCAAAAATAACGGCAATTAAAAATGCACCAATACCAACGAATGTGACCACATTAAAATCATTTTTGGGCCATATTAATTATTATGGTAAATTCGTAAAAAATTTATCAATGGTTTTACATCCATTGTTTCATTTATTGAAGCCATCTTCAAAGTGGAACTGGACCATTGAATGTCAGAATGCTTTCGAAAAGGTTAAAGAGTTGTTGATATCATCTGAATTTTTAACTCACTACAATCCGAATTATCCATTGAGCTTTCAACAGATGCCAGTGATTATGGAATAGGGGCTGTGATTTCACACATTATGCCTGATGGTATTGAGAAGCCTATTGCATATGCATCCAGAACTTTATCTACAGCGGAAATAAAATATTGTCAATTAGAAAAAGAAGCATTGGCTGTCATTTTTGGATTATGTAAATTTCAGAATTATTTATTTGGTAGAAATTTCACGTTAATCATCGATAATAAACCACTTTCTTATATTTTTCATCCTAATAAAAATTTACCACAATTTTCAGCAAATAGATTACGTAGATGGGCACTCATTTTATCAAATTATCAATATGACATCAAATTTGTGAAATCAGAGGCAAATCAAGCTGATTTTTTATCGCGTATGCCAGAGAATTCGACCGAAACGAATGGGGAAGGAGTAGATTTAAATTATATAGATTATTTCACTAATAATAATCATTTTCCCATAGATTTTTCACAAGTAAAGGAATATACATTGAAAGATAATTTACTATCAAGAATTGTTGAGTTTGTTTATACAGGTTGGCCTAAAAATGTGGATCATTCAAGTGATAGCAAATACAACTCATTTTTTCGCATAAGGAATGAATTGAGTGTTGAATCAGAATGTTTATTGTGGAATAACAGAATAGTTATTCCAGAAGCATTACAGAATCAAATGCTGAATGAATTACATAACTCGCATATGGGAGTTGTAAAAATGAAAAGTCTTGCAAGGTCATATTTTTGGTGGCCTGGTTTGGATAAACTTATAGAAAAAATATGTATGTCGTGCGATAATTGTATGTTAAATAAAAAAAATCCAGATAGAGCGAAACTGAATACCTGGCCATGGCCGATACAACCATGGTATCGACTACATCTAGATTTTATGGGACCTTTCATGAATAAACAGTTCTTGATAGTAGTTGATGCACATACTAAGTGGCTAGAAGTTTTTCCAATGAATTCAATCAATTCTGTTTCGACGATTGACGTGTTACGTTCCTGTTTCGCTCGGTTTGGTTTGCCGCGACAAATAGTAACGGATAATGGTACTTCTTTTTGTTCTAGAGAATTCGAGGAATTTTTAACAAAAAATAATATCATCCACATTACTTCTCCTCCTTTTCACCCTGCTTCGAATGGTGCTGCCGAAAACGCAGTTAAAACAGTTAAGAATGCATTGAAAAATTCGTTAGGAAATAGTCATCATTCGAGTTTGAATAAAGTACTTAATATATTCTTGTTCGATTATAGAAATACACCCCATTGTACAACAAAAGTTAGTCCAGCGTTTTTAATGTTTGGTAGAAATTTGAGGACTCGATTTAGTTGTTTATTACCAGAGGATAATTTGGAATTGAAAAGTAAAATTGCATCTGAACAAAACAAACAAGAGGAATATCATGAGGGAAAGAGGTCAATAATATTCAAAAAAGGTGAATCAGTTACTGTCAAAGATTACAGAAATAATAAAACGACTTGGATTAAAGCTATTATATTTGAAAAACTTGGCAAGTCAGTGTATACAGTAGAAGTGCCAGAATTGAATAATGTGAAATGGAAGAGACATTTGAATCAAATAAAAAAAGCGTTTGTTGAATCAAATATCCAGGAAAATTCAAATTTAGGAAGGTCTTTTGAGGATAATAATATTACAAAGCCGGAGATAAGAGGTGATGAATTGAATAGGGAGGATAAACAAGTGAATGATGAAGTTGAAAAAAGTGATGAATGTTCACTGAGACCAAAACGAGTCATTAAACCTCCAGTTCGGTTATCATATTAACATGGTTTCGGTGGTTTTTATTATTGTGAAATTTTTTTAGGGGGGAGATGTTAAGTATTGTATCTTTAAATTATAGTTCATACAGTATAAATCAATTTTGGAATCAGGATAGTATTCTGTTGTTGCTTAGTACCGATATTATTGAAAACAAGATTCTTGGAATGCATGTCATTGAATGATTTTGGGTAATTTGTACATGAAGAAATAAATAAAGAAAATAGTTATTTCCTGAGTTATTCAGTACATTACAACAAAATATGCTCACCTTAAAGGGCAGGTACAACGCACACCGAAACAAACCCTCAAGCCTTTCAAGCGTGAGCTGAAATAAATTTGGCCGTGCGAGTTTATCGCGAACGGGCATAGTTTTAATCAGCGTGAGCTGAAATAAATTTGGCCGTGCGAGTTTATCGCGAACGGGCAGTTTTTTCGTAGCGACAAAAAGAAGCGAGCGCTCGATGAATATCCATACATCCAACACAGCTGTATGTATACAGTATGTTTCGCTGCAACCATTAGAGAAGGACAACATTGACCCACAGTATACACCCTAACGTTAGGGTGTATACTGTGATTGACCGTTCATTATTATAAATCACCCAATAATAGATAACTCTCAATTATGACTTCAAGAAAGCGATAGTCGAAGTATTATCAAAGCTCTTGCATAAAATTTCGAATGAATATTTTGAAACCGAAGATTAGCAGGCACCTTTTAGAATCAACATCGGTGTATTCATAATTTTTCGAAATAATAATTCTAATAAACTTGACAACGCCGCAAAAAAATGCAAAAATGAGACATGATGGTTGTGTAGAGAAGATAACAAATCATCATATGTCATAAAATACAGGGTGTTTCATTTAAAGAAATCTCAATTCGTGTAGTTCCACGTTCACAAAACATCCAGTAGATACCAAAATAATTTAGATTTGTAGACCTGCTTGGGATATTGTAGTATATCCCCAAAATATGTCCATCTCTTATTGGGTAGCAAGAATTAGACATCATGGGAATCTATGAATCTAATCTAACCTATAAGTCCTATAACCTGTTAGAGAGAATCTATGAAAATTGGGCATGGTGGGAATCCAAGGAAGGTGGACATCAAGGCAATCTATGAAAAGTAGGCATTGTGGGAAAGCAAGTTATAAGGAGGGGAACCAAAAGACAAATTGATTTTGCGTCATCTTCTGCCAGCAGTTCAACCTTTTATGATTTAGGTTCCTCAAATTTTCAGGCTAGGTTGCATGTGTTTTTTGATGTCCAGTGATGGTTTATTGCCAAAACTATATAATTGGCAGGTAGTCAGAGCTCAGCTCATCAACCACAGTAAAAATAAACATTGATGTGACATTTTTTGTTGACATCATCAGTCTTCTGTCTTCTGCTAATTTTTTCTTTTTTGTGACTACCCTGTATATTTGTCTTCAGAAATTTCAGAACCACTCACTTGTTGGTTTATGGCTTTGGCTGTACCAAATAGAAGTTTCCAGTCAAAATCATATCTTTATCAAATCATTAAAGCAGTACATTAGATTTTTTTTCATTAGTTTTCTTATTATACATGACTTCAGTTCAGAAATATTCAACGTCCATAAGGATGCATTTGGGCAGCACTTTTGATATTTGTCTTTATTGCTGATGGTGCCTTATTCATTGCTTGAGTGGTGGGAGGTATCTGTCCTTGGCCTGGAGCCCCTCCTGGTCTTCCTGATGGAGCCACCATCATTCCTCCTGAAGTAGGATTAGCCTGGCCATTAGGATTCATCTAGAAAAAAATTAGGTACAACAGTGTGAGTAAAATAACAAAGACTCCTAATACCTTCAGGCCTTTACCCATGCCTACTGCTGCTACCAATAAATGGGTATCAGCAACACTTGAATTTTGTTGGGTATTACCCCTAGAAGAAGATTCAACTTCCCATTCCTCTCTAGCTTTACTAACAATGTCCCAGACATGTGAAACCACTTTTTGGTATGTTGCTATTTGTTTCTAGAAACATGCAAAAGTTTGATGATTTAGCAGTTCAGTAATAATTGATTTTCAATTTATTCACCTGAGCATTATCATATTGCAACCCTACTGCCTTATTTTCTAACTGAAGCATTTTAGTTTCTGCTAAAGGTTCTAACTTTGTTCTCAGATAATCAGGAACTAGATCATGGGCAAATGTTGTTACTCGGTGTTCAGTAGTCTGTGCTAACTGTTCATCTCTTTCTGGAGAGAGCATGAGTGGTAAGACAGTCAAATTCCTCAAAACAGGACATTTATCATGACTCATAACTTTTGAAAGTGAGGTCAGCTATAAAGAAAATTACAATAAAGCTCATAGAAGTATGGAAAAATTATTGAACCACCTGTCCTGATATTAAGGCATAGTTGTCTAGGAATGAAGGCCAGTTCATTGTCTCATATTCATTCTCTAATTTGAAAATCATAGCAGCTATGGACTGTTTCAAATCATTTACTCTTTGGATTATTGACTCCAGAGCAGAATCCAACTGTTTTTCCTCCCTCTGCTGCATTTTTAATCAGTGCAATAAAGGTAAAGGTAGTAATAGCAGTTTAGGATAGATAAGACCTCTGTAAGTTGTTCCTTCCTTCTCTTCCCCTTTTCCAAGCCAAGTCTTTCTTGCCCTATTGAATCCCAAATGGAAACATGGTTTTCTAGGTTTTGTTTTCCAAACACCCTAGAATAATGAATTGTTTTTTTTCAAGATAAATAAAGAGAATTCAGAATATTCAGATTCAGATCATAATGTTCAATGTTCTTTCTTCTCTAAACTCAAAACTCAACACCCTAGGTTTTTTCGTCTGCTTTTCAGTGTCGTGTAAAATGCACTACACGGAATCAGCTGATATTTCGCGCAGCTACACCAAAGGCTAAACCATTGTACAAATAATCACAGCGGGCTGACATCATACTAATAGTGGACCAGAATAACTCCCCGACCAAACTCATCTTCCACGATTTTAAATAATCATCAAAAGATCAAAACAACCACGATTACCACACGAATCCAGGATGGACATTGGACAAGAACGAATCCAATGATGTTTATTAATCATTCCAGAATTACGTCATTTGACAGGTTGCTGAGGGGCAAACATTGTATTTTGTCAAGATTTGTCATATAAAACCAGAATTAGTGGGATCATTTTCCTTGGAATCCGGTTTGGAACCAGAAAGAATTTCATAATTTTGTTTGGTGAAACTCGAGGTGAAACTGTTATTATATTGTGGATGTGGCAGGGACGGCCAGAGAATTGCTCATCAAAGGTAACCTAATAAATAGTTTGTGTGCCCCTCAAGAAACCATGTCAAAATCACGTGTTCTAGAATGATCAATTGAGTTCATTGCAGGGAATGGTTCGAAAGATTTAGGCACTTCTAATAAAAGGATACAATGACAATTGACAATTAGACATTCGACACAAACCACAGCACAAACGACAAGCGAAGCCATTCTTTTGGAAAAAGGAAAAACTCCTTAGGCTTAGGAAAAACTGGAAAAACCATACAGAAATAAAAAAGAAAAACGTGATTGTATCAAATATATTCAACGAGAAGAGTTGTGGAATTTCACTAGTTGGCTCATTTCCTACTAGTTGCACTTGATTAAATGGACAGCACTACTGAAGAACCCATGCCATCAGCAGAAGCCTCCAAAAATAGTCTGCTAAATGAAGAAAAGATACCTGATAGCTCTGATAACAGGCATAAGCCAAAAGCTCTTAAAGCCAAAAAACGCAAAAAACCAAAAGATAACACTGCTCCTAGAGTGCCACTCACAGGTCAGTAGGTATTTTACACAGGTATTTCATGGAATTTGATATGCTATCTATACATCTTCTCTTTTACATAGGTTATGTGAGATACCTAAATGACCGTAGAGAAGCCGTTCGTACTACGAATCCAGCTTTATCATTTGCAGAAATTACCAAAATGCTTGCCAGTGAGTGGAGTAATTTACCTGCTGATAAAAAACAGCAGTATTTGGATGCTGCTGAACAGGATAGAGAGCGCTATACTAAGGAATACAATGCCTATAAACAAACAGAAGCTTATAAGTTATTCAAAGATCAACAACTTGAGAAGAAAGTAAAAGAAAAGGATGAGCCTGTAAGAGCCCCAGTGGCAGTAAGTTAAATAATGATGATGTTTTCATTCTTTTAACATTTCTATTGAAGGCCCCTCCCCAGAATCAGACATTAGTTCCAAGGGATTTTCCAGATATTGATTTTGGAAATTTAGACATTCCTATTTTCACAGAGGAGTTTCTTGATCATAACAAAACCAGAGATGCTGAATTAAGACAATTGAGGAAAATAAATACAGACTATGAACAACAGAATGCTATATTATCTAAACATATAGAAAACATGAAGGTTGCTATAACTAAATTAGAAGCTGAGATAATGCAACAAGAAAAGAATAATGCCTCACTTCAGAAACATTTGAGTCATTTACGAACAACACTGACCAATGGATTTGGCAGTGTTAAGTTGCCAGGTCTGTTCTGGTATTTTATTTATCTGTTATTTACTTATGTATTGATCTTTTTCACAGGTATAAAAGAAGTAGCTACATTACAGAACATAGATAATTACATGACTAATCTTCATTCCATACTGTTAGAAAACAGCAGTAGTGATGCTAATCTGCTTCAAACTGTTCGTGATATTGTTGACAAACTAGAATTCAATGGATGACAGGGAAGTAGGACTTCCAAACGAAAAAGAAAAATCAAAAAGTTCTTTTAAATTTCTTGTGCTTTTATGATTTAATAATTTCATTTGTTGGGGTGGTGATTTCACCACTTATAATATCATTCATTTTTTTTACTGTGATTGTTCCAAGAATGATTTTATACATTTAGAAAAATGTAGCATTTGACTTGTGATTTATTTCTCAATAGAGTTAATATTTGATATCAACAATAAATTAGGATACTAGAATAATAAAATGATCAATGATATTCAATGTTTAATTTGTGATTTAGTATGTATAACAAATTTTTGATAATCTTCAAAACTAATAATTTCTCCACCACTAATAACCTGCAGTCTACCTGCAGAAACTAGTGGATTGATGTGAGGATTGTGAATCTCAGTGATCTGAGTGGAAGAAGCTGCTGCTGAATCACCACTGCTTCCTAGGTTTCCTAACCAGTATTCATTTCCTGGTAAAGCATTTCCATCCCAGGCATAGGACACAACAAGTAATTTGTCTAAAAATTTCATTTGTTACCTATTATTATCATATCATTTTTGATTATGATTATCATGGGCGCCGGCAGCAGGATGCCTCCATTCCGGGAAAAAAATACATGGAAAATATTGGAAATCTTTTGAATCAAGTCATTGTTTCAATGAAAACTTGAAGGTTCTAGGTTGCTGTCCAAATTTGTTTGTTAATTGACATTACAAATATTTATAATTATCAAGATCAGACCAACAAAAAGTATGCACCTTGCTTCTCCCTCTTTTTCAATCTATAGCAACAATGCTCCAACACATAGAATCTGCTTCTGACATTTTCAGATGGGACATTTTTTAGATATATTTTTCGGCCTGTGCCTTTAACCCCCTAGCAAGGGGGTGTTACAACCCTAAAATTTCAAATGTAAAGTGAGGTCCAGTGTGATAGGTATATCATTTGAACGGGCACACAATTATCTTTCTAATGATACCCTATTTGTTGAAATTTACTCAACAGTTAATGAGAAGACTCTAAGAACATTAACCTGATAATTTTGACAACACATTACAATCTTTGTTATTTTTAACAGTTCTTTGTAAGAAGAGGGTAAACAGCTGTTAAATTGATTCATCAAAACGTTTACTTTGACAAATGTTGAAAATGAGACCCATTTGCTTCCATATTTGGAAGAGTGTCCAAATTTTAACAAATAGGGTATCTTTAAGAAGGTAATTTTGTGCCCGTTCAAATAATATATGTCACTGAACCCCACTTTCCATTTGAAACTTTAGGGTTGTGACATCCCTTTGCTTAGGGGTTTAAAGGCACAGATTGAAAAATGTGTCTGAAGTCGTGTGTCCCTCTCAAAAGCAAATCTACGTGCCTGAGCATTTTATATAAATTCCGAAAAAAGGAGAAAAGCTAGGTTGGACCACTGTATAATTAATATAGGACTGTCGTTCTTAGCTATTTTTTTCCAAGTATTTTGTCAGTCAGTAGTATGTAGTCCCTGAAAGTAATTCTGGCGGCGCCCATGAAGATTATATTGCATTCAAGAGAAACATCAATAATAGCTGATAATACCTAGGGTTTGCAGATTTCTGAATTCATTTTGGAATAAAATGGCCCTATCCTATCAATGTTAGTGCTAAAATGCATCCTGCCTCAGGTATAGGGTGTTGAAAGAATGAAAAACACCTGTAGGAAATGAACAAATAAATTCTATAATTCTTCAATTTTCAAACACAATCTGATGTGAGATTTTCTAACCGAATACCACACGAGGTCAAATTACTTTCCGAGAATTTTTTCTCGCTCATGAATATTTAGAAAATAATCCCTCGTCTTCAACTGGGAATAATTTTCATAATATCCATGAGATCGAGAAAATTTCCGGATATAATTTGACCTCTAGTGGTATTACAAGTGATAATTTTTCAGTTAGGCTCATTAAGGCTGAACCTCAAAGTCATAACATTGCTGTAAAGGTTTCCAAAACTGACGAAAAAATAAAAATATTTCTTTTGGTAGATTTTTCAAGTGTCTTCAACCACTTGACAATTTTTTTTGTATCAAGAGGATGCATTTGGGCATGTGTTGATAGGAACCTTCTACTCAAACAAAGGCACAAGACATAGTTTTTCGGTCTTATTCTGACTCGCTCTGTATATGAGAATGAGGAAAATAATCACTAAGACGACATTTCTCACCTTCTGACAGTTGTTCATGTGGATTTCTTTCAAGAAAATGTATCCTGATTCCTGTGAGCGGATGACCTTCCAGCATAAAAATGTCTTCATGTTTATAATTCCCGCAATTTATTTATATAGGATTTATATAGGAAAAGCATATGTCACTTATTGCATGTAGATGTTTACCCAAGTTTCTGCAAATTTCAAATGACATGAAAAAATTATAAAATACAAAAAAATACAAATATACAGAGTGTTCAGTAATTATATGGCCACAACATAGAAGTGAGTATACCTAGAACAGATAAAAATGATGGGAAAAGGTACATTTTTTGTTGGCCTAATCGGAAACACTTGCCCATGGAGGTCTTATTCCATTCTTTTTTTGAGGCAATGTAATAAATTTCCCCCCCTCTAGCTCACTAATCTTTGAACCGATTTAAAAATTTGAAAAATGATCTAAAATGATTTTTCAGATTTTTTTCCCGTTGCATCAGGAAATACAGGGTGCTCGGAACAAATGATCTACAGAGTACCTACTACTTGATTTTTTCAAATGGAACACCCTGTATTTCATTGTATTTTTAGATTCTTCCTGAAGAGCTGATTCATCAATGCATCACACTTGGGGTCTAGCGGGAATGATTACAGAGATATAGGGTGTTCAAAATCGAGATTTTTCAAGTTTAGGATTTTTTTGTCTCGAAACTATTCATTATTGGTTGAAACGGCTTCTATGTTTTCATCTTAACTTTTGATTTACTGTCTACTGACATTTAATTGGAACATTTATGGAGTGGTTGAAAATTCAGAATTCTGATCACCCTGTACCTGTTCCAATTATTAAATGTCAGTAGATAGTAAATCAAAAGTTAAGATATGGACATGAAAGCCGTTTTGACCGATGATGAATAGTTTCGTCTCAAAAAAATCCTAAAGTTGAAAAATCTCGATTTTGAACACCCTATATCTCTGTAATCATTCCCGCTAGACTCCAAGTGTGATACATCGACCAAATCAGCTCTTCAGGGAGAATCAAAAAATACAACATATAAAAAAATCAAATTGTACCCTGTAGACCGTTTGTTCCGAGCACCCTGTATTTTCTGATGTAGCGGAAAAAAACTTTATCGAAAATCATTCAAGATGATATTTCAAATTTTGAAATCGGTTTAAAAATAACCGAGCTAGAGGGGGGACATTTATGGTGAATCACCCTGTACCTATATGCCCTTCTTTAGTGATATTCAATTCGATTGAAATCCTGATGAATTAACTATTTAACACCCACGGATATAGTGACCGAGCGGAGCGGTCTAAAACGCTCAATCTAGCTATAGGCAGCCATTCACGATGCCAAGGTGCTGTCGATTCAAGTTCGGTTTTCGGCTGATCATTTGTTTCTTAAAAAATGTGTGGTTCTTGTTTGTGATCCTGGCAGCACTTCGGCGCCCTAGAAATGGTTCGGATTTTACTATAAGCTGTAGCTCTCCATGCTATGTGAAATATTTCAGAAATATGTCAATATATACGTTCCATATTCGTTACGAAAATTCTCTGCTTGAAATGTCTCAGGTGAATCTCTGGACGTGTCATCTGAAACATTCCTATGTTGATATAAAAGAAACATTTCTGAAGTTCTCCATATGTTATGTGAAATACTTCCAAAATATGTCAATACATACGTTTCATATTCATTATAAAAATTGTCTGCTTGAAATGTCTCACGTGAATCTCTAGACATGTCATCTGAAACATCGCCATGCTTACCTAGGTATGAGTAATTTTCCTCTTGTTGTTATGCGTAATGAGAAAGATCTCTGAAATGTTTCAATACAGGTGTTTTCTAGTTGTTTATTGGGACATAGCTCTTCAGAAATACAAAATGGAACATATAGGTACTAGAAATATCTCACTAGAAATTATGGAAGTGTCATAATATAATGAGTTGAGAAATGTCATCAATAATTCAAAAACAATTCGAAATAAGAGATAACTTGTCTCAACTACTCACTCAATCAGAATGAAAGTACCTACTATCTTTATTTACATCGCGAACTGAACAACTCGAGAATGTTCTTAGTGCAGATGAATCGGTTACAAAATAAATAATGGATTCAAAAAGGGCGTAATCGCATTCGCCAGTTGAAAAAACGGGTTTTTATGAGAATTTGATAAATCAAGACATTTCAAAATAGTTATTTTCCTGAAAAGTGCGCAAAGTGTTACTTTTCCGAACGTGAAAACAGTTAGGCGAACGACGCGAACGATGTTAGCTCAAAATATTGACTCAAATTCAAGTTTAATTCAACTTTGAGAATACTTCTTAAGATATAGAGTAGGTACTTATAGGTACTTTCTGCATAAAGAATTTGGCTGATATGTTTCTTGTAAATCTGCAAAACAGGATAGGAGCACCTCCTCCTTGATATTATTTGTCCCTTTGTTTTTGTACCATATTTAAATTATCTATTGTATCTCATATTTTTGTTGAGATTTTCAGCGGGCAGTAATTTCAAACTTGCAGAGTTTGCTGCCTCTAATAGTTGTCAGAACTGTTCATTTTAATAGCTTTTGAACATTTCTTGTTTTGATGAATAGAAAAGTTTCGGTGATTGTAGATTCTTGCTGACAGAAACCAAGGAACTTATTGTTGTTTGACAATATTATTCATCTTTTTTTTTAAATCGTATCCGCACGCGTGCGGAAAAGTGTGACTTTTATAATCTCGAGTTGATTACCAATAATTTCTATTAAAAAAAATTGCGCTAGTTCTTCAAATAAAAGGGGAAGGAGAAAAAAGAGGATAAAGACCGCTATGAAGAAACACTTATTACTACAGTCTATTAATTACAGAATTCGACAAACTTTGGGAATTTTCAGTTTTTTCAGATATATCACGAATCGAGTTGATTTAGATCTCGTGGTGGCAGCGAGATGGCACCGTTTGAAAAATCTGTCAACTTTCCATGTTTTCCTGCAAAGTTTAATGAACAGGGTGTCCCAAAACTCAACGTCATCGTCAAAAGGGCTGATAGTCCAGCTCATGACTGACCAGAATATAGGCACTTTCATGAATTTCGTGAAAATTGAAACCTTTGATCTGTATTTCGAGTGTCGAATATTGTTCAAGTCAAAGACAGAGAATGTTTAGACTTCGAATGTTATCACATTTTTGGTATGAGCTGAACCTGACTGGAAGGCGATGAAAAAAGCTGAAGAAATTGTCAGATTAACGGCACAACAAGATTGTTATAAAAATATCTAATTAAATAATATCGTAAATACTTGTGTTTTCCCCGCCAGGGGTGGTCCTTCAAACATATCGAACCATAGAACGAATCCTCGAACGAAATAACAGTGAAAGTTGTATCATGTCAAAAACTACACCGAATGAGCAATTTTTTTAAATAATTCACCAGGTTCGCGTGGTGATTCTATTTACAGTATGAAGAGTCTAAGTAAGCTGATTATTAATAGTTATTTTTATGGACCGCAGAGCTTGTATGTATTAATGCGCCTTGGTCTATAAAGGCAAGTTACACCTGAAATACATACAACATTTTATGCACGACCGTTCTAGACATTTATTTAGTTTCTATATGGAATTTATTAATTATTTCGAATTCATTTAGCCAAATTATGTATTTCACTGGCGAAGAAAGATCGATTGGTAGTTTAGTAGAAATTACTAAAAAAACAGTGAAATTACTTTACCGCCCGATCATCTACCTTACCGCCCGCTGTACTGCTTTATCGCTCTAGGGCGCTAAAGTTTTACTTTGCTGTACTCCCAGTCGTGCTTAAAATAAGATAGTTCTTGAACCGGGTAAACATGTTTTTTCTTTTTCAAAGGTATTGCACGAATATTTTTATTTTGGAAAGTAATCAATTAAAAGGTCATTACAGGTTGCATAACAAAAATTATAATATTGTACTATGAAGTTTCGTACCTGCGGCACTCGAAATAATGCTGATCGATCGAACGGCCAGCATAGCCTCGTGGTTGAAGCGTCAGTATTCTATCCACGTAGGATTTCGGGTAGGTGGGTTCGATTCCCACCACGACCGCAGACATTTTTCTGATAACCTAAGAAAGTGTTTGGGATCACACGTTTAAAGGTAAGACCCCCCGTCATTTCTTGCTCGCACAAGTCTTGAGGGTTGTTCGTAAGGGGGCAACCGAATGATGAATAAGAACAATTCTAGAACAAGTTTTTTAATAGGATTCGATTTTCACGAAATATCAATATCCTGGTCAGTCATGAGCTGAACTTTCAGCTCCCCAAAGGGCGACGTTGAGCTTTCGGACACCCTACATATTTCTCTCACTCAAATTTGAAAGTAGTGCAAACGAAAATAAGAATGGTGGATACGGAAAATATACAACAAAAATCTCAATTTTCATAATTTTTTTCTTGATTCTTAACTTCCCAGCGAGCACAAACATCCCTGGGATGTTTTGAAATTGTTGGCATGAAGATGTTATTTTGAGACGTAATATGCACTGCGACCAAAGAGGTCTTTGAAGGATATTGAAGTATTGTTTTTGTTCTTCTGTGGCATTTCTTTGTTTGCCTACTGAGAGGCCGGTATCCCTGATGGGATGTTTTGGGATGTTTTAGAAATGTAGGCATGAGGATGTTTTTTTGAGGCGTAATATGCACTTAGAGGTCTTAGAAGGATATTGAAAGTATTGTTTTTGTTCCTTTGTGCCCTTTCTTTGTTTGCCCCACCACAACGTCTCATGCTTACGTCACAATACGATGAATTCTGATTTGTTTTCGATTTTGTTCTTCTTGTTCGCAATTGGCATTCGCGTTTGCTGCGTGTCACGCTTACATCACGCTGCTAACGAACAGAATAAAGGAATTTGGTGAAGTTTATTGTGTTAGAAGACTTATTTAGTATGTAATAATGACTATCAGATGCAAGATGTGTTGTTCGGTGCCTCAGTGTAATCAATATATAAAAGTACGAATTCATCAATACCCAGCTTCTCCGCAGTTGCAAAATTATGCATTGTGGAGAACATTTCAAAAATTGGGAAACCTATTTCCAATTATATGTCTGTGTGTAGTAAGCACTAGGTAAGAACTACTCAGAAACCGATTAAGAAGGTAATTTCATATCAAGATAATATTTTTATGTTCAATCTATTTTTAATGCATTTTTTCATTCAAGGGAAATGGAA